GCAACCCTATCGGCCCCCTATTATCCGGGCCACCAATACCGACGACGTCGACCCTTATGGTCTGGCTAGGCCGGGGCAGCACCACCTGCACAATGGCCTATCTGCCTTCCTGCTGATAGATTGCTGTGGACGTCTGGGACGCCATGCAACATTACACTGATAATATTTGCCACGCCCCCTGTAAACGGTGGTCTCTGCCATACATATCTCCGCCCAGCCACAGCTCGAAAATGGGGGTCCGATCTGGTTTGGGCTTAAAGATTGCGGTGGTTCGTTGGCCATTAGGTGGTGCGGTGGTTCGGTTAAAGTTTAATTAAGTTCGGTGGGTAAATGTTGCTTTTTGTCTTGCAGGCGTGGGATAATATTTTACTAAAAATGGTTCTTTAATGAACTTAATATATTAATATTTAAAAAAACAGTAAAATTATATTTAAAGCAACCAGAAATAGGATAATTTAAAATAGATTTATTAACCGTTTTGGCAAAAGTAAATCCGATATCGAAGGAAAGGTAATGTCTGAGTACCACCATTATCGAATTAACTTTCCAAAGCAGCTTACCTTTTTATTTAACCAAAAAAAGAAGGAAAAAGTAAGGTTCTTTAGCAAACATTTATCAAACCATAAGACCTGGGTTATTTTTTCCAATCCTCTGAGTCATGGCCAGCAAGTTTTGTTATCCGCAAAACGAAGGACAACAATCATGGGCTACAAGTAATGGACATCCTTTCTAACTAGTGCAAAAAAGTTATCCTTCTTGTCGAAGGACAAGCTTGTCCATTAGTACTAGATGCCCTTGTACACTTTTTCTATGCCTGTTTTGACTTTTTACCAATAATTTTTGCAATTTATGCTGGATATTGTTTTTTTGCATTATGCTGCATTTTGTTCCCCTGGCTGTCTCTGACTTTCACTTGAGCATGTCTCTTTGTCTGGCTTTCACATCGTCCTTTCTTCGCTTGATGTGATAATCTAGCCTTGTGCCATGTGAATAATGAAGCCCCGGATTTTAGGGCAAAAGCAGTGTAAGAATTTTTTCTATCTTTTGCAGCAGGGTTTTTTCGTTTTTTCAATGCCCCAGAAGCCAGGGAAAAGCCGTGCTGACGAGAGTTAAATAATAATTTTAAAAACGTTGAAAAGTCAAACCAAAAAATTGTTTATTATTTGTAAAATAATTCACATGCGAAAAATGTTGAGAGAGTTGACAGAAAAGCACATTCACTTTAGCCATTTGCATTTCAGAAAATATTTAAGCTACACAATTGATTTAAAGGACAATGTATTTAGCAAATTACATTTTGCATTCTCAACATATTTTCAATTAAATTAAAATAAAACATTTTCCAATTTATTTATTCCCGTTTGCAATCGCTTACAATCGACGTAATGCATTTTTTCGTAATGCATGAACATTTTTAACTATGAACCCTCTTCATACATGAAAGAACAATAACGAAAACACATGCTATTTAATTAAATGCAATAATTTTTTGGGCCGCCTAGCAGGACGCCTTTTGCATTGAAAATGCAAATAAATGCACTTTTCATATGAAATTAACAATTTTGTGTGTGAGCCTGAAGGGATTGAGAGGCAATTGGGTGATAAATGTTTTCACTGAAATAACAGAAAGAGCAAACTTTAAAGGCAAACCTTGCAGATACTGAAGGCAGCAGTCTGGCATGCAGATAATTTTAAATAAATTAATATCACAAGTGAGGTTTATGAGTTCTGATAGAAGGTGTGATGTTCTTTAAAAAATAATCATTATTAAAAACCAATAAATATATTTTTAGTCCATTTAACCTTTATAAAAACCTTAATTTTTTGTAGAGAATAATTTCCATATACAACATTTTGCTACATTAAACTTATAATCTATTAGGTATGTTTTTTAAAATATTTTTTCTTAGTTAAACTCACTTTACCTCTTTCTTAGGGTGCTTTCGATGTTGAAACACTTTGTGCTTCACATAAGACAAAGCCGCAACAGTTTACAATAATTTGCATACAATTAAAAAAATGAAATAAAATGAAACCGCCGACAGGCAACGAACCATTCTCAGACAATTAACTCAAAATGACTCTTGCTCTTTCCGTTCGGTCGCTGAAAGGCTTTTGTTCCATTCAGAAGCAGTTACGGTATTTTAACTTAACACATTTAATAAAAGCTGTCATTTAATATAAAACACATTTGATTCAAAATATAAACATTAATTGAAATAAAAAAGTTTTTCAAAATAGGGGGCTGCCCTTTACTGTAGCATTTTCATTTATTTATGCTGCAGCCAACAATCAACTGACCAAACTCAGACTGGCTGGTCAAAATTTTAGAACAAACAAAGAGCATGTTGAAAATATTTACATATGAACTTTCATTTGACTTACAATTTTGGTTGCTGTTGTTTTTACAGTTGCTCATGAATAATATGTTTGCTAGTTAGGAGATGGTTACACAGCTAAAAGCTGTAGTTTGCTATCGTTGGTAAACTCTGGTCACTGTTTGAATGGAAGCAACTGACAGCAAGATCTGGTCCCATAATTAGTGTCAATCTCAAGGCCCAGTATCCCGTTGCAACCATCCCGTAGGATCCTTTAACCCTGAGCATATGTTCTATCTCTGAAGACTTTGCCCACTTAAGTATGCAACACAAAATACTCGTACGCTAGATGCGTACCAAAAGGACCCAAAAGTAGGGCTTCTTGTTTGCGCTAGTGTTGGCATTGTGCTTGTGTAAGCCGTCTGTGCTATTTACTTGGCCAAAACGTGCGTAAAGTTTTAATTATAAACTTTTTCCACCTCTTCTTAAGCGCTACTTGTCCACTCTTAAAAAGTTCCATCCCAAACTTGAATTTAACGACACTTTAAAGGGGCAATTTATTAGATTTATTGGGATAGGTGCCTACATCTGGTCTAGTAATTAAAATTAAGATTAATTGCATGTTTTATGCGCATATTTTACAACAGCCTCAACTGGTCAATAGCCCAAAAATTTAAATTCACTGAATGCAAACTCTTGAAACCGTTTTGTTTACATATTGCATGGCAAAACCTTTTTGTATAATTGCAAATTTCTGGGCAGTGGAGAAAATCAATTTCATTTGCTGATGGGCAACAAAAAATTCATTTCATTTCGATGTGTGTTTATATTGATGGAGAAGAGTGCAAATGAGATCAAATATGGAATATCAAGGGTCAATTGCTGAGTGGAACCTCAATGGGGAATAAATAAAATTAGTCAACAAATGATAGAAAGCTATTTGGGCATTAGTTTAAATTAATTATTGGTGATTTTTGGATTACGAATAATTATGTCATTTATTTATATATAAATCTGGTTTGACATATGTATATTAAGTAGGTTATACTTTAATGGCAATCATTTTATTTTATATTTTTAGAGCTTAAATTTGCTTCTGCATTAAGGATGATTTTTCTGGAAAAGTCAAATTAATTATGCACTTAGAAGGATATAGCATTAGACTTTGAATGAATTCTCTTTCATTGGTAATATGGTAGATATATACGCGATTTCTAATCTGTTGAAGCCTGAACAATGCACAATGCAGAGTCAGTACACACAAATGCTCATTTAACCGGGAACGGATGATTGGCTATAGACAAACTTCATTTGGGCGAATAATTGCCGGCAGCACTCTCTATAAGTCGTCCACAAACGTCTTTACATCGCCGGGGTTTTTGTGCACTGACTGATTGATTCAGTGAAGTGATTGAGCAGTTGTTTGGCTGTGCACTTCAGCAAAACATTCAATGCATAACTACAATGGGCATAAGTTATGCTTCGCTGCAGACATCCCAACAGAAAAGACGGAGAGAGAGGAAGAAGAAAAAGGCGGAGTTCACTTGACTCGCTCTAATTCCCTCACAACGATAATCATGTTGTTGAGCTGGTTCTCGTATTGGCGTATACGAGTATAAAGCATTCTGATCCACCGACAGAATCAGACAGCATCCATTATGTCTGGCTGCCAGTTCTTCGTCAATATATCCGCATCGCTGAATTAATGAGGCAGTAAAGTGACCACAGACAGATGTACTTTGATGGTTTCATACATATACAACTATGAGATGCCCGTTTACAATTTTTGTTTCAAACTTTAGGCTATAAATGCTCTGAATAACCAATTATATAATTTCCCTGATATAAATAAGGTTAGTATAATATGAAATATAGGAATATTTTGTGTTGTTTTTGATTTATTTAATAATTTGCCTATATAAAACTAGTTTGGGGACCTGTTGCATTCATAATGAAATGGAAACAAATGCAATAAATTATAATTTCACCTTAAATTTATTGGGTAATTATGCAACATTAAGTTTATTAGAAATTTTAATGGAGTTTTCTTCCTCTCTTAAGCTGTACCTAACAAATGAATAAATCAAAAACATAAGCAACGGAACAAAAAACTTATCGCCCCCAAAACTTCCGCTGCACGGACGCTTATAAAATGGGGGACATTGAACTTCTCAGCCGGCTGAAAAGGGCATTTCTCAAAAACCGTAAAAATAACAGCAAAGAAGCCGGAAAAAATAACACACAAAAAAGCCACATCAACACGAAACATTAAGCTTCACAGTCACAACATATTCGACTGGCTGATACTTTTCCTTTAAAGTCGCCACACAGAGTTCAAATCGAATGGGAGCGCACGCGCCTGCAAGTATGCAATGCTGTAATACGAGACCAGCACGCGATGGAGATGATGTTGGGATATGGCCAGGGATAGGGGTATTTGACGGGGTATTTGGTGCTTCTGAATCGGAACAGAAAATAAGTTTAACCAGCAGGGAGGCCACCAAGGCAGTCGGCTATTTACGAAGAGCGGAAGTTCTTTAATTTAATGTTGGTAAAAGATAAGAAGCTAATCCGATCGAATTTTTGTTGGGTTTTCTTTATATTTAATTCGATAAGCAGACATACTAAGTTGCTTTTTACAGTTTAAAAATAAATCTTTAAATACATTCATTAAATCTATCAAAGTTGAAGCATGAGCAAGAAATTTAAAGGGTTGCAGGTACAACTCTCATACTTTCTGAAATTTAAACTGTTTAAATTTGATTAGCCAAATCTCTTCATTGAATTCTCTACAAATTAGGGAACATATATCCCCATGATTTTAAGCTATAACGTGGAAAATGTTGAAGTAATCGACTCAATTAGCTATTGTATAAGCACTTTCCACACTCCCGCACCAACCGAACAAACACAAAACTCAATTAGATGCCATAACTAAATAATCACAAACACATTTACGCCAACAAGAGCTCTTTTCAGTTGGAGCCTGGTTGCCGACCAAGAAACGTGGCAGAAAAGCCAAAAACAAAAAAAAAATATACAGAAACCGGGTCAACAACAGGAACAACATGAGCAACAATTTTGAAACAATGAAATGACGACAACGACAGAAGCGGCAAGGCATGCCTGGAAAATTGCTTGAAATGCTCAGAAGCCAGAAAGAAAGGGGCGGCGGAGCGGTGGGAAAAGTGGGTGGACTCCGCCGAGGGGAGAACAGCATTCCAACATGTGACGCACGTGACAAAACTTGTCAAGTGACTTTACTTCACTTTGACTGCGAATCCCGGCTCTGTTGTCCGTAAACAAGAAGACGGAATCCCGGCTGAGAAGAAAAATAGGTTTGTGCGCATTGCCCCACACAAAATGCTTAAGAAAACTCTGCTCTCGGTAAAACAATAAAGGAGAGGCAAAAAGGAAAAATCAGTCGCGGGCTTTTCCGACTTGTTGCGCCTTTGGCTAAATTATGACATCGAGAGTTTGAGGGAATGAGAAGCCCTTAGAGGGGAACAGAAGTACCATTTTAAGAGGAGCAATGAAGTGGAATTCCATTGGACTTACAGATATTCGTGAGCAGCTTTAACCGTGCGTTTTGTTAGAAATAAGTTAGTTTAACTTTTAGCTTGGAGAAATCTAATTAAAGTGTGCCATGAAAAATGAACAAAGAAGGCCATGAAATTAAAGTCCAAAATTTAAAACCTGGATTACCCGGAGAGCGGGGGTAAGACTCATTCTCGTTTCGGCCCTCTAACCAAAAACATCTTTTTGGACAACTACCAAATCTTTTTTTGGAATTAAAATCCTACTTCCGTAAACAGGCTAATGTGAGTGGTAAAAAAAATAAAAACTAATAAAAAATATTATAAATCAGTATATACAGAACAAGATGTGCAATCCAGGAATATGCTCTATGCCCGGCACTTGCTGTGGACCGACTGGTGGTCTGGGTCCCTGTATGCTCTGCGGACCCTATAATGGCCAGTGGTTCCGGTCGATCAACCACTGTTGTGGTCCCTGTGGGCCATATGGCTGCTGCTCCTGCTACGGACCCTACGGCGGACATTGTTAGCCTGGTTAGAAGGAAAGTAGGATTTAATCATCCACAATTCAAGAAAACTCTGAACAATCCAACAATGAAACCTTCCAGTGAGGATGCAAGTTGACGAAGTGGATCCAAAAATTTGTTTTGTGATAAAATTTGTTAGAATACATCTCGGTGAAACCTAGCGAGGGAATCTCAGTTTAAAGCAATACCAATAATGTAAAAATAAATTCTTCGTATATTTTTTGCAAAATGCCTTAATTATTAATTATTGTTGAAGTGCCGCTTCCCTTGCAAACAAATTAGTCCCGAAATTTCACGTCCAACTTTCTGACCAAATTTAAAAGGTTTTTGCCTAGTCCGCCGGGTGCATTTAAGGCTAAAACCGATTTGTTTGTAAATATTTGGCTCGTTTACAGCTAACGACACATCGGGGACCAGTCGTGTAATGCTAATGGGCCTGTTGAGTGCAAATTTGTTTACGAGTAAAACACCACAAAACAGAGGGATAGTAGATTGCTTTCTTTTTTATTGGAGCGAGACATCGCTCCAGACTGCACACATTAACAATTGATCTCAGCAAACTTTGAACAGCAACGGTAACTTAAAAGTTCGTAAATTTATCGGTTACTTGGTGCGTTTGAATATTTTGGAACCACTCAAGGTGGGAAAATATTCAGAACTATTGAGATCGGGAGCTTGACCTTTTTCCAAGACCTTGGATTGAGTTTTCGGCAGACGGCTCTTAACCTGAAGGTTTTGATTGAAGTCACCTTGGCTCTGGCGCAGAGCAGGAGGAATATAGATTTGGCTCTTAGTCTTTGTTGGCTCCTCCTTTTTGTCCGACTGCTCTCCGCCCTTCCGATTCTTGGATGTTTGGACCTCAAGATGGACCTCCATCTTTTGCCAGGGACAAAAAGTATTTGCCATACCATCATTATGAGCCTGACCCACGTCTATACCATCGCCTCCTGTATCTAGCTGCTCCAGTTCCTGAACTTTGACCTCGCCACCTATGGAGCTAAGACTCATCTGGATGCTACGTCTCGAGCTAGTGTACTGCTTGCAATTCTCCTCAGTAAAATCACGCCATTCATCCTCCACGTCATCAGTTTCATCAGATAAACGAATTCCAAATTCGGGTGACTTCATGGCCGATCCTGGAAATCCGCTTGAACCCTCTATATGAGTAACGGCTTCCATAATATCATCGGGATCGGCATTTGATGACAACTTTGCGGATTCCTCCAGCGTTTTGTAGAGCTCATCGGTGGCCAAGAAATTTGATTTTTTTTTTTTGACTTTTTAGTGTCCTTCTTGGCAAAGAAATCATCAAGATTGGACATATTGAATGAATTCTGTTCAGCTTGTTTTTTTTTTTGAAAAAAATCACAATTTCGTATTGATCTTTATGAAGCCAAAATTTGTTTGCGAATGAGTTTTAATTCTAATCTTTGCGGAAGCATGTGCAGTATAAGTCAATGACTACTATTTACTTATTACATAGCTATAAATGTAGTTTTAAAATGTATCTTGATGTCTTTATTATTATTATTATTATTATTGTATATAAACATATTATTTAAATATAAGTTTTAAGTTAAAAGCTTTTAAGTAACTTTTAATCCTTCCGATCTAGGTATGACTTATAACCCTTTGCGGTTTATGTACCCATGTCCTAACAGAAAACAACATTCTACTGTACTTATGTAATAAATCCGTTAAAGATATTTACGTTGAGGCTTCCGAAGGTTGGCTCTATTTTTACATCACAGCCATTGCAATATAATCTGGGCGCTCAAAAGGCGTAATAACATAATTTGAGACATGGACTGTGGGACTGTGCAGTGGTTACGGTGGGCAATGGTATCTGCTATCTGGTGGCATATGCCACTAATTAGAATTATGTGCGCGTAATGCCCTGGCCACGCCTCTTTTGTGCAGCCAGTGAACACGCCCACTTGTCTCTGTGTGTTTTGTGTGTAGAAAAAAAAGAGAGATAGAGAGCCTTTTTACGCCAGTGTGCCGTGTCACGAGTAGTCACATATGTTCATTATGTTTGCCAGCCGACAAGTGGAAGTGGAAAGTGGGCTATGGAGGAGGAAGGTTCTACTCGAATCCTCGACGTCTGCTTGAGTAATTACCAGAAACAGGAACGCAACGTGAATGCATGCAGTGGCGGGATGTGGGAGTGCAGGTCGTCCTTGTCGTCATGGCAAAAGCTTTTTATGAAATGACGATGACATAAAACAAATGCGCTGGTCAAAAGACATCAAAACTACATATATGGAACACAACTACAACGCCGCGTATCTACTTAAATTTATTATTTAATTAATGCTGCCAGATGAGTGTTCGTCTGTGTGGGCACTATGTTACTGTATTTAAGATACAGAAGGACTATTTTTATTTAAGCCAGACAATCCTTTTTCTAATGTTTGTAGTGTTTGAATTCTCTAAAAAAGTGTATTTAAAATCACTCTTCCTCAAACTGTAATATTTTGGTTTACCTTCAACTAAAGTTCCCAATAAAACTCTTTGTTAGCCCTGTAGATATTTTACCTTTTCTATGTATATTGCTAATCAGTTACAGGGGTACAAAATCGCACCTGGTGTTGTCAGTATTTAATTAATTATTATTCAATTAACACCAGACGCCAATTAAAAGTTCAAAGCGATATTAAAACTTGGCCAAGAACCGCAGGAATAAAAAAAATATGATTGAGAAAACTGCCGGGTACAAAGAAGTATTCCTGTTTACATTTAAGGTAAATGAATTTATGCACATCAGACTTAAATATTCCGTTGCGTATGAGTCACAGGAACGAAGTAAGAAATAACACTGCACACACTGCATAAAAGTTAAGGGGGAAACTGTGAAAACTATCGGAGAAAAGCCCCAAACCAGAGCCATCAAAAAGCCATGACAAGTCAGACGGAACAGGACAAACAGCACACAGAGATGAAAAGGTGGGGGTGGTTTTTCCAGGGCAGATGGGGGAGATAATCAACCCCGATACGGAAGCGAGGTGGCTAAAAATATTGGCGCCACTTTGCCGGGACGTCTGGCTAGAGAGTTGGCGACGTCTGCCTTTCAGATCTCAACTCTCCTGTTATTGTTATTGATTTTGGTGGAGTTTTGTGTCCTCGACAAGGGGATGTTCATCCAACGGGATGCATAATTTGGGAACATCCATGGTTGGCGTGGTTGGCGTTGATGACATCATCATCGGTGGTGCCATCAGTAGCAGTTTTCAGTTCCCAACTTTTCCATCCAGTTTTATTTTATATCTCCCCCCGCCCTTTTCAGTACTTTGTAAGCTTATATGGGCATTATATTTTTATGCTTATTATGCGACTCGATTACTTTAAAGCTGTTTATCGCCCTCAGCCGCAGGAGAGTTAACAACATTTTTTTTTTGTATTTTTTACTGACAATGAGTCAGTAACTGTCGGCCACAGACCGACAATTTGTAGTAGCCGCAGAACTTACATCCATTAAAGCAAAGTGTTACAACACATATTTAAATTATAGACTTTTCCGCAACACGCACATACACATGCTCGCGTTTTTCGCACCGTTCGCCTGTCTGCGTGCCATGAAAATTGTTTGTGAAATTACAAAGTTCTTCGGGAAAACTTGGCATCACGTTTCCCAAAACGCACATAAAAGATGCCAAGAAAGGCTTAATAATACTAGTGATATGAGTTAATTTGTTTGCTAAACTATAAGGAATACATGAACTTTTGTTGAGATATATAAATTAAAACCATTTAATATTCTTATAAATTCGGTAGTTCTTAGATCAAAGGGCACTTTCTTATTGTTTTGTAAAGGAGATTGTTTGCAATTTAATTTTCTAAATGTACTTAAAATCAATATTTTATAACTACACTTCTTGATGATGCAAAAATATTTTGAAGCTTAAAATAAACGAAAGTCTGCACCCAAAATGTGGCATGCAAAAATATGTTTTCATTGATGAACTAAAATTGTTGTATTGCCTTTATCCAATTTCCTTGTTTGCCTTCGTTTTATTTGATTTAATCAATGTGCATCGCCATTCTCCGGCACACATTTTCCCCCACGCCCATCTCAATTTTTTTTTTGGTCTTCCTCTTTCTCTTTTACGCTTTATTTGTTTGTATTTGACTTTCGCTGCGTGGGCGTAAAATGACGCGAAGGAAGTTCGAAAGGCAAATACAATTACACTGAGTGCTCCTGCCAAGGATTTTCCATCGCCCAACCTCATCCTTCGTCTATTGGCCAATAGCAGGGAAAAACAGATAAAAGCAAATACCTAGGCAAACAAATCATTTGGAAAACATTTTTGCGCACAAATCACATCAAGGTGCAAAAATTATTTACGAATATTATTTTGGCAAACCCAACGCGGCAAACGAAGCGTTGAAGATGGCAAAGTGCACAGAGATGTTCGATGGATGGATGGATAGCTGGATAAGATAAAAAGAGATAGCGAAGTGGCAAAAATGAGCAAATGGAAAGTCAGTCGAAACGTGAAAAGCGTGAAAAGTGTAAATATTGCCACAGCCATAATATTTGAACGGAGATGTATTCTTTTTTTCTGTCTTCCATCCACATTCCACCTCCACTTTGTTGATGAGTGTAAGCTTCAATGATTTTCACCAAGGATGATGAAGTTGCTGACTGGCTCATACAATTCGAAGTTTGGATAAATGGCAGGCTGATTCAGAGTGAATGTACATAACAGCAAGAATAGCTTAAAGGAAAAACGACTTCCTTTCCAATATTCTTGTCATTTATTAAATTTCGTTTGTAAAAATATTCAGTATTTCCGTATATTCGAAGACTTGTAGTAGGTCAAATATATTTTTTATACACCAGATTTTACATCTATTGAAAAAACTTAAAAACATTCACTGGACGACCTTAATACTACTCTCAGCGGTCATAGTTAAAATCTTAAATATAAATAGCTCTCAAAACCGCTTTGAGAAATGTGTAAAGCATTTTCTCTCTAAGCTTAACCCATAATATACAAATTTTGCGGTACAAGATAACTGCCGGAATAATCAGGCTCTCCAACAATTCACGAAAACATGTTCGCTAATAAAAATGTGAAAATAACAAAAATATTTTACCCAAACCCAAAGTGAGTTGGAAAGTTGGCAGTCACTTGCACTTCCGCTTACAAGTGTTGCCTTTGGGAGTGGAGGCACAGATTATTATAATAAAACAAATAAATAAAGGCCAAAGAGAAGCTATGGCTGGGGAAACTACGACTCTACATGGAGAATATTTGTATTTATGGCAAAAAGTTGTGTGTGCGGTGGAAAATACGCTAGAAAAACAATGCTTACTACACAAGTTCACAAGAATTCTGTGAAATGCAAAAGGCGTCTCTATGTGCTTTTTCTAGCATTAGTGCCAGCCCGATTGTGACCCACATACGCTAATAATGTTTTCCCAGCACTCTACACAATAATTTTGTTCTCTGGGTTCTTTGCTATTTTCGTTACGCCCCTTCGAATGATAATTAGGTGGGCATTACGCGTGTGGATATGGCAAAAGTAAGTAAGTCATTGGAAAACAGCCATTTTATTGTAGGTATATGAAATGTTTGCCAACGCAGAAGGGTTAAGGGTAACAAAGAAAATAAATAAGGAGTAATACCATGAGGAAGGTACAAAGAATATAATCATGCTCTCCGCTGGCCTCAGACAATCTCTGCCATCTTGCAGTTCAGTCTATTAAAGGACAATTAGATGGTCCACTTGACTCACCGAAATTGAACCTCGTAACCCCAGAAACCCCAACCGACTGAAAATGTGCAGTGGCCCCTACTACATCCCACCCTCTCTTCATCAGCTAAATTGCCGACTAACCCAAATGAGAGCAGTAATTCGGTGACCTTTGTGAGTGGGATTTTCTGTTGGAATAGGCGATGGTCTGAATCGTCGACTTGCAACATGCCTCTCCAATCGAGGCATTAATTGTGAGTGGAAGGCCTTTTGCAATTTTCACTGGTTCCGGCTGCAAAAGTTCATTTGGATAATCAGCTATCTTCGCTTTGAATCCTCAGAGTTTGCTTTGTATGTGCTAGTATAGGTTGTGCTAGGACGAGTATGTGGGTGAGTCAGCAGCAGCGCTCTAAAACTTTTCTGACTGTGGAAAATTTATGATGTTTTCATAGTTTTTTCTTTTTCCGCCTCCGCCTTCGTCCCACCCTCGACATGGCTGTGGAAAATTGTCGATCCTGCATATTTGAGTTTTTATCCTGTGGTTTATATCATTCGCCAAACTACAAGGGGAACCGGAGCCACAGAGTACGTGGGTGGCGGGATTTCGGGGCTCTGAGACAGCGTTTGCGGTTTATTAATATTTTTGACTGCCTCGATTTTCTGCCACTG